TTTTTATATATTTCCCTACGCTTTATTGCAACTGAAATATGGATTATAAAGTGCGGCTAAAAGGCATTACCTATTCAACTCGGGATGTGAAGAAACATTGTGGTAGATAACAATAATTCGATTTCGGGTTTATTAAAAATAAACATATGCCCATGTATAAACAATAAAGTAACAACCTATATATGCCACTGCTGAGCTAAGGCCTCCTCTGTACGTCACATATCTATATATTTTTTTTATTTCTACCTTCACCACTGAACACGTGATAAGTAAGGACTAAAAATTGAAATTAACGATTTATTTTACATATATCTAATAAAAATACCGGCCAAGTGCGAGTCAGACTCGCATACGAAGGGTTCCTTACCATTATCTATAAAAACGGCAAAAAAAATCAATTTTGTTGTATGGGAGACCCGCTTAAAGGTTTTTCATAACAGCAACAGAATTTAATAATCTGTGAAAATTGCAACTGTCTAACTATCACGGTTCATGAGATACAGCTTCGCGAGAGACGGACAGACAACCAGACAGACAGTGAAGTCTTAGTAATAGGATCTCCCGTTTTTCCCTTTGGATACGGAACCCTAAAAATAATAATTATTCATAAATATTCCCAAAAATGTTATGTGTAGATGCTATATACACATGTAAAAAACGTTTTTACTGACGAGTCACTTATGTAATATAGTAGTGACTATATTACAGTAAATTGATATTAGTGACTGTATAAGTAAAAGTTCTAAGCGGCTTCCAAAATTACCATCGGTACGTACTGGCCTCTACACATTAACAAATTAGACTGCGTTCAAGAAATTACATTAGTGCCTCAGACATTAGCATAAACGGAACAGCAATAAAATAATCTGTTCTCCGTTGTGCATGTTCGGTATCTGGCGGGCTCACTTATTTGACTTTATTTGCGCCGTTTGTTGCCTTGCCGCGCGCCCGTTGGAGTCAGTCCAACAATTTTACACAATCATTCCACTCAACTAAGCGTTGTCATAAACACAGCCCGGCAGGTATGAATCGCGCAAAAAATCGGCGATAATTGCCGCCGTATCGTTCCGGTACGCTTTTGGCCGTGTCAATTTTTAATAAACCACGGTGGATTTGTGAATTTTTTTATGGCGGCCAACTTGGCACCGCTGCCGACCGCACTTATTGATTCGAAATACGATATAACGACTATTTGCTCCACAGCTATGTATATTATGAGTTATCTAGCCCGGCGATACCATCGCAGTTTAAATTAACTACTGTTAACTAAAATCGATAATCGGTTGACAAACACATTAGTCTTTACGTATATAGGCATTGTATTTCCTGGACGCTTACTAATTCCTCTTACTTATATTCCTTTTATAAGTAGTATTAACTATTCCGGAGAATTCCTAAGTAGACGGATCTACTGATACCCACGAGCAAAGTTGTTAAGGCAGAAATGTTGAACAATTTGATGGTGTGCCTTAAGCCATTCAAAGAGCCTAAATTTTATTATTTATAACTTATACACAAATTTAGTAAATGAAAAATTTTTATATTTACAATCTAGACTAAAATCTACGCAAATATATATTTATCTTAAGCCAGTGCTGGTCATAGTGAGTTGAAATGTATAACGAGTAAGAAAAAATCGTTTTTATTTTAATCTAAAGCGTAAAGAAACAAATACAGCATATTTTATAAGAAAAAAACATTGTAAATGCGGATGTTAGGATTTTATTTTAAACGAGAGTTTTGATTCTCCAACCCTTTGTTTGGCAAGCGCGCTGGATGTACCCGAGCCAAATAGGTCGCCACTAAATGAATCAAAGCGTGAACTTAACTAGCATTACGGTTTATTGTCAAAGTTTAAATTATAGAAGAGGTAACACAATTGCGACGCTCTCGCATTAAAGTCCCAAACCACACAAAACGTTTTATATCGTTCTTTGAAGTTCTTACATTGAACAAACATTCGTATTTTTACAGTTAGTCTTAACCGGAGTGAAATCTGTTACTCAGTCTCTTAGATACTAAGCATACCTGCCTTTCCTTGTATGTTCATTGTGATAAATATATGTTGTTCCTATAAACCGTGACATAAATGATCTATAATTGAAAAATATTACCTGGGATAGTCGATATGCCACAAGTAAAAGTGATTATTCCAAACATATTTGAGTGATCACGACAGTATTCCAAACAATAATTATCAAAGTTAAGTAACTTGCATCTTTTCGACACAAATTGAATTCAGTATAACTTTATAATCTTCGTATCTTTGTAAAGTGTTAAAAAGTTTTATACAAGTACATTTCGAGTACTACTTACACACACATTCCAATAGCCATCTACTACAATGTGTGTTGGTACTTATTGTACTTGACCTGTTACACAAAATTAAACTACAGAGAACACACGATACTGAACATCTGTTAAATATCAAAAAATCATTGAATAACATCTAAACTTACTCATCACTGTACCAATAGAATTAAGCCTGAATTTTTAAATATGAAGTGTAACAGTAACTACGCAAATAGATCTAACATCAATAACGAAATGCGCTGTTCATCTTTATGCATAGTCTGAGTTGGCGGGTCCAATGATATAAATAACAAGCTGTTCAGATAGTTTTTCGAAATAATGTTTTCAATTCAGCCACAAAGACCTGGCTGATTATAATTATTTCACAGTAAAAACAGATCTAAAATGAACTATCGTGCCTCAAGTTGCATCGGGAACATTTTCGTGCGATGATTTTTTACCACCTGTTCAGCGGTGAAGGAATGATGTCAATACATTACATCATCTGTTGATGGTTTTGTATTTTTTATGGAAAAGAAGGCAAAAAAGCGGGCGGGCCACCTGATGGTTCACGTTCACCGCCACCCAAGGACACTTGCAACACGAGAGAATCGCAAATGGGAGGATGGAAATTTGAGGATGGATTAGGCTCTCTTTTTCTTCTACATTAAGAGAGCTCTACTTCTATTCATTGATGTAGGCTCAGAAGATCTTTGCTTGTGAACAGACGTGTGAATGAATCTTTGATGAGTTGGGGCCTTAGAAAGTACCTGTGTTATGTTTTGTACCGAATCCATGAGCTAAAGCTCAGTAACCCTGAAGTTTAAATATATATACATCGGATAAATGTTACTGAATCTAGTGACTTTTTTTGTATATACTATGTAAAATAGTCCAAAATCGTAAAGCTGATATGATCTCGTGAAAACAGGATTGTGAATGGCGAAACAAGATCGATGGAACTACTATTACCATTACAGGCGTTCTGTGTAAAACTTCAGTCAGTTAACTTAGCTATTAGTGCCCCGTATTTCAAGTGTATAGAGTGAACGCTAAACTGTTTGCAGTCCCACGCGCCCAAACGCGCTACAGACGGTTGCCGTTAGTTTTTAGGATAGGATAAACGATACGTTTCAACGTACGCAATCCTCGGCGCATGTATATCACTGAGGCATTGTCGACCGGCTGTGTCACTTTTATAACGCCGTATAAACGCTCTTATCGGTCAACAGCAGAGCCAATATTTAAATACCAAAGTCAACATTCACCCCAATTACAGCGTCTTTATTCGTGATAACAAGTTTAAATTTAAACACGTTTATGTTTAAATTCAAATCATTATGTGTGGTTTCGTTGCTGCTGCCAGTTAAAAATTTCATTAAGGAATAACTTTTATTTTAACGCAAAAACCATTTTAATTTTGTGATAAATAAACATATTATTATTTGCTATTAATTTTTCCTATCTTACTCAGAATAAATTAAAAATAACGATTAAGAGGCCGAAACAAATGTCGATGTTTCTCAAAAACGCACTATCATAAACAATAATATCACTTTGCAAAGTTATGTTATGTACAATTTTTATTCGCAATCATAAAAACACAAAGTTCCGTTGAAAATCACAACTTTAAAAATACCCTTAGCTCAGATATATAAACGGGGCGGTATATTTTCCAAGGAAACCGACAAATACCGGACATAATCTTTAAAACCTCCAATAAAATACGCCCTGAATGCTTTGAATAGAATGCCAATAGGAGTAACAGCTAGACGGGCTTTGATCTCGCGTTTCACATAATGGTGCAATGAAATAAAATTTCTAACGCGTAGACATCTATTTATACCACGGCCGTGTCAAATTACGATCTACATGTTGTGGTTTATCTCGCATAGGGGTTCAACGTCAGTCAATCTGAGGTGCATGTCTGTCAGACCGATTTACGCGGCCCCGACGATGCTCGCGTCGCATCATGCTCAATAAAGCTCATTTAACATACAAATCCCCACACAGCTGTGTAGTTTGCCGTAAGGATACATCGGGATAAATTTAATATTAACCGTACATTTATCGATTTTGTTATCGATATGAAAATACTTACGTAACATACATACGAAAATAAATACTACGATCTTCCTTGAAAAAAGTTTGTAATTAAATTTTAGATAAATATGTTAGAGTTTAAATGCATGTAACAATTTAATGCAATACTTATGCAAAATGCATTTAATATGCATTTTGCATAAGTATTGTCGCTTTAATTTTTGTAAGATAAAAGTAAAGAAAAGTAAAAATCCACTTATGTCCCACTGATGGGCAAAGACTTACTCTGCACTGCGGGTATTACGGCTTTATCCTTTATGCAACCCCTCTTCGGATGGCCCCAACATTGCTTTGATTTTTATTGTTATTATTTCGAAAATGCGCAGGTGTCCTCACGATGTATTTCTTCACCGCTGAACAGGTGATAATTTTAACAAAATATAAAGTGACTAGAATAAACTAGAATAGAAACTTAAAAAGATTTATACATTTTAATTGCTAACAAGCAATTTCGCTGTTCAACCATACTCAAGACGGCCACACAAACTGCCAAATAATCTTCGATCACATTAAAATATCAGACGCTCCACCGACGATGTTTAAAACAGCCGCAAATAACGGTTCCGAATACCGAATACGGGCCCGCGGTAAATAGGTCCATATTAAATGGCGATAACATCGAAACGGCGCGCCATCGGAACGATTTCTTCGTGCCGCGACGTCAGACCACACGCTAAGCCCAAGACGTTTATTCTCGCTCCGGCCACTGCGCTGGAAATTCCTGCTGACGGTAACGTAATGCAACAAGCGATCGTAGGAATGGTGACGATTTAACATTCCCCGTACACTTCACGTTCAGACGTCTTCGCTTTTAATCTTCGCTTGCGCAGTAATATATGTGTACTTTGCGGACCAGATAATAAGGCTGGACTCGATCAATGTACGTTCGCGTTTCAAGTCGCTCAAATTAACGAGATCTTTCAAAAAATTTGTAGTTAAATTGTCGAAAAATTTCTCGCCACTGGTCAATCTTTTAGAAGTTATCAACGCATCTATCAACCACCGGGTATAATAGATGTACATGGGCGATGATTTTCACTTAACATCTAGTGAACTGCCTGTTTGCTTGACAATTTTTCACATAAAAAAAGGATTCGAACATGCGCCTCCCGGGTAACTCGCTAAGACGTTATAGCCACTAAGCTAAGTGTTCGACATCCTACCGTGTCTATTTTCTTAAAACTTATCTATTTTTTTATTGCATTTTTGCAATGTTTGGCGCCATCTAGTATGCTTTTGTTGCCATTCATGTCAGAATCATTTATGTGCCGTCAGATTATAGGCGAAGTCCATTGCCGGCAACTGTTTGCCTCTCTAACAGAAAAGAACGGTCTTACTTTGTCGCGGGGTGAGAGAAACTTGAAGACTCATACTAATATCAAGCTCATTTGTACAGGGTAAATTAATACAAATGAAAACTGACAACCTAAAATTCTTAAAACCATATTAAGAAGGACTAGTCTGCGTTAAACGGGTTCCTTAGAAATTTATACTAAAACAGTTTATCCGTAAATATAGTTTCATGTAAAGCTATCTTTCACATATAACATTGTTTAAAAAACTAAAAACTAAACAATAAGTATTATTTGATTTAAAAACAAATCATAACCTAAAAACAAGGTAAAGGCTTAGGCTTAGACACATTACTGTGAGTGAAATTTACAGAAAAATCACACCTATTTATCCTTTATGTATGTAAACAGTCTGGGTTTACCCTAATTTAGTAATAAGGGTAAACCCAGACTGTTTACATACTGAAGATTCTGAAAATATGGCTATTACATCCAGCTATTTACTCTAAAAATAGCAAGCCAAAGTTACCGTTCAGTAATACATAATCATTTACATAATACAGACGGAATTACCTCTCAGGTAATTCTAACAAATAAAGTATGCCGCCATAAAAAGATCAAAGGCTTAGTACGCAGCTTTTTAAACGTAATTGCTCCTCTGTGTAAAAGTCTACAATCTCTTTAAGTAATACACTCTTTAATCTCTACAATATTTTTTCGCTTCATAATCTGTGTCCTGTTTAATAACCTAATGGAGAGAAATACGCGTATTCAGTGCCGGGTGTTATTTAAATATGCGTTTATAGTACAGCCGATTTATCGGGATATATTTCAAAGCTCCCAAGGGAAATAAATAAGCCAAGCTCTTTTTAGTTAATCATAGATAAATTTTGAAATGTTATAATCGGGATCGGTTCAACTCTGTTCTCTGTTAAAATTCGCATTTCACGTTTTGTAAAATTTTACAAACAGGTACGAATTAGTCATACCTAGCTAGATTTAATTATAAATAATGCATTATATACATTATTTATTCTGGAAAACTAAAAACTGAAAAAGTTCAATTGGCTAAAATTTTGCATCTATACTTGAAAGAAAACTTTTAACGTCCAAACCTACTAAGAAATTTAGGGCCTTACAAGTATTATGTACAAGTTTCTACTGAGTATGTTAGATATTCAGTAAAACACGAGTTTACTTATTACTAAAAAAAATCGGTAATAAAAGGAAACGAGCTTTAAGAAAATTTTAGCAAAAAAACAATATTGAGAAAGAACTCTTCGCGAAAACTCTCAATCTTAATACAATTTTATATAAACGTTGAACTTTATGAAAGAAATCTCCCAATTTTATATAATCGTCATTATCTTTCTGTCGTATATTGTCTTTGTGACTTCTTATCCAATAAATGGGAATGGAGGGAGCGTATTAATAAGTCCTAATCATTTTTATTATACTTAGTATGACAAAAGGGATTCGCGGAAAACACTTAATAAGATCGTCTCCATTAAGCTTCAGCTTTATAGTTATATCAAATTATCTATTTCGTAAATGAAAAGAGGTATTAAGATTTTTATTAGGCAGATACGCAGCTACTTTTGTGTTGGGAAAGATCTGAAGAAATCAACGAGGTTATCAATTAGTGATCCTCTAGCCCAAAAAAACAGTTACGATCGATACGTGCTTTTAAACCGCTTTTAATCTCCAACCAGACTAAGTGGTCAATACGGTATTTACTGATCGTTTCTTGTGAATGTGACTTTTAAGGTAATAATTAAAGCTTAAACTGTTGTTCAAACATACCACAGTACCTACACACTTGTAAGCAAAACCAAAAATGAATCTTTCCAAGGGTTTTGTGATTAAAAATCAAGAGAAAGAAAGTAGATATATATAAGTATATATATAATAATTCAATTTTGAAACCATACATGACGTTGAGCTTTGTTAGGGATAAAAATTGAATGGAAGAAATTTAATTTTTTAAAAGTTAGTTTAGTAAGTTATTTTAAAAGTTTATTATTTTTAATTTTGACTGACGCTAAAAAGATTTGGGAGGCATGGACCTGTTGTATTAGTTGACCATTATTTAGTACGGACTTGCTGTACATTTATCATCTTTCAATTTAATCTTTACAAGAGCGTAATGAAAATGATAAATGATACGTCCGTAAATCATAAACATAGATTGTAACCTCACGCAAATATACGGTGTTAATGTTCAGGTCCATTATAAGAGTTCCGACGCGACTTTGTGGAAGATTATAATAAAGCCGTGGAGCGTAAGTTGAGCCTCTATTATACTAGCTCTTTAATGGCTTAATTTAGCCAAGTCGCTCGGGAGTCAGTTACCTGCGCGAGGGCAAACCAAACCGGTTTGCAGCGATACGTCCCCCGCCACTCTCTTAACTAACCGAAGCCCATCTTACATTGAAACTTTTTTTTACTGTACTCCCGCAAGCAGGTTTAACAATTCCTTGTTCCGAGCGAATTGCACACATGCCTCGCGTTAAAGGTGAAATATTAAAATATCGAAGGTATCATTGTGAATGAGGTTCAAGGAAATTTCAAGGACATAAAAAAGTAAAAGAAGAGAGCCGAGCTTATGCAAACAATGATTTACTCTCAAACTGTGACTGTCTAACTTATCACTGCACATAATAGAGAAACAGAAGGTAAGAAATAGAACCCGCTCATATATTCGAGACTGAGCTACTATTAATGTACTAGACTACCATTGGCTCTTAAATATATTACAAATTTAAAATACCACACAGAGCACGGAAAACGTAGTATTTTATAAAATCCTTAGGATCATCATAACCTGACAGTAATGCTCAAACAAAAGACCTATGTATCTAACACAAGTCATTTGTTCTTCGGTCATTAATGCATAGTATTTTCAAACCATTTTAAAAAGCACAAAATTCTTGTTTTCCATCTTTTTGAATTAATGAACGTTTAAAATTAAGCAAATTTTTCTTTAAAGATTATCCCAGCAATAGTCCACATTAATATTATAACATAAGATAATACGATATATTACAATAAATCTCGTTAAATATATACGGTTTTTTTAAAAAAATACCAGTTAGTCGGTGATTCGAACCCCAATTCCATGCACCAAGTTCCGCTCTCCGGTTTTTGTGTGAAAATATCAGTGACTCATCTGCAGCAGATGTGCTGTGACATACGCACAGTGTGTAAATTAGCTTAATGTATTATGTTGTGTGTATATTAAGTCATGAGAGCTCAGTGTCCGGGCGTTCGCTTTTAATTCAAGATACTTGAGCAATCTGAGTTCAAATGCCGATGCTGGCACCAATAAAATCATGACGAAACCTGCATATTTTCGAAATAACAACAACAAAAAATATATTTAGAAGACATGTAAAGTCCGTCAATCCGCAATGGGGTCGCGTGATAGGTGCCAAGTACATATAATATACTCTGTACAGAGAAGGCCTGGGAATATTATAACATATCTCATTTCTCTCTCTGTGCTGTGCAGTCATTATTCCCATCTGATGTTGGTATCCTTCCTGGTCTTGTGCTTCCACTTTGCTCTACCAGACATGCCCTCTTTGATAAAGTTGCAGGAACTTAGATCTTTTCCGACCACATCTATCTACCTGGCCTTGGGTCATCCTCTGAGTCTAGATCCCGTAATGTTCAGATTGGTCACTACTCGTACATTTCTTATGGATTCTGGAGGTTTTTATTTTAATATGCCCAAACCAGTGCAGCTTGCTTTCTTGAATCTTGTCAAAGATGTCACGAACAACCAGACTACCGCGAATGTGTTCATTGCGCATCTTGTTGAATCTGGTCACCCCGCACATCCACCGTAGCATCTTCATTTCGGCTACCTGCGTGTAGTGGACGCGAGGTTCTGTAATTTCCCATTTTTCCGTACCGTAGGTCAAAACTGACCTGATAATACTTTTGTACACAAGTCCCTTGAGGTTTATAAGCATTCTTCGGTCGCAGATTACCCCAGTTACTTCTCGCCGTTTTTACCAGGCCGCCGCAATTTGATATTGAATGTTGTTCCCAAATTTCCTGTTTTGTGCAACACAGTTCTTAGATATCTGTTGTCTTCACATATGGTTACTTGTTGACCTTCAATAAAAATTGGGCTATTTAATGACTCTGGATTGTTGCACACCATGTATTGGATTTTATCCACACTTAACATTAGGCCACCTGCTTGTAACTGGTGGTTAAACCATAAAATTAGTGTCCGCCATACGTTATCTAAATAAATATTGAAAACAATTTCTTCTGATTGATTGCATACAAACAGCCAAAATATTGTATCTAGAATATCATCGAGTTCATTGAAAGGAAATACATATAGAATAAGTATATATGTTAAGTACCGCCATTTTCTGCTCGAGCAACAGCCCGTGACATATGCCTCAATAGA